TCACTTTTGCGCACAGAGGAACGCTGTCGAGTCGACAGTCTGTAGCAAGCCAGGCAGGCCATGCTGGCAGCTTGGCCTGCCTGGCTTGCTACAGACAGTCATGGATCGTCATCGCCTTCAGAGTCAGCCTGTAGCAAGCCAAGGAGGTCATGGCCGCTGGCACACGGTCTCCCTGGCTTGCTACAGGCTGTGTGGCCATCAAGATAGCGGTCGCCGGCCGTCGCCGGTGGCTTCTACTCCAAGACCGGGCTCCGGCCTTGCAGTGGTAGCCACCGGCGCCGACTGTGCCTGCACTGCAGTATGCAGCGCCTCCCTTTCGCATTCCAAAGCCTTCTCGCAAGAGGCGGTCGAAGCCGAAACTGCGCTCTTCACGCTTGTTGACCCGCTCTGAGAGCCCGACATCCTTTGTGTTTGTCGATGGCACCATCCCTTGCACTTTTGTCCTGGACCAGTGTTCTACGTCATGAAAAACTGCGCGTGTTTACAAAATCACCAAACACTTAACCCAAATAAGAAAAGTCTGCGACTATGCAAACAACCACGGATCTCCTGCTTGAACGACGCCTCCAAGCGGCTGCTTTGCGGAATCGCCTTGACCCGATCGCCGATAGTCCTCTTCAGCTTTTTCGCAAGGCCTTCAAGCCCGAAGCAGCTGTTGCCGCTTTTTTTTCCACGCTGCCAAGTCTCCGGGATTTCCGGGTTTGCGCTTTTGCAATGAGACCTGGCCTTAGGCCACAGACGCTCATCTTTGAACGCTGGACCAGCGACATAGACATATCGCGCGTTGGTCAATATAGAATATAGACCTGGCCGAGGCCACAAATCTCAAAAGCTGGTCCTTGAAGGTTTTTTTTTCTTTTCCACGCTCTGCCAAGACTCCTGGATTTCTAGGCTTTCGCGCTGAGACCTGGCCTTAGGCCACAAAAGCTCGTCTTGGAAGACGTGTTTGGGTTTCCAATCGGAAGGATCACAGACCGCTCGAATAGCGGCAGAACGCGTGTTCGCGAAGATTAGACCTGGCTTGAAGCCACAAATCACAAAAGTTGGTCCTTGAAGCCGTTTTTTGATTTTTTGGCGCAAGCCCATGAAGCAGCTGTTGCAGCTTTGGCTTTTCCACGCTCAACCAAGTCTGCTGGATTTCTAGCTAGGTTCTCAGAGACCCGGCTCGAGGCCCTAAACCCTAAACCCTGCAAACCCTGAATTATAAGGTCAAGCTCTTGTAACGGCATCCAGCAACACCATAAAAAATCACTGGCGCGCCCCAGCCTTGACATCAAGCTCAGCTTCAGACAAACCTTCGGCAAAATGTGCAAGCAAGGGCCCGCCCAGAGACAGGTGGCAGCTGCGCTTTTCATTGTCGCGCCACTCCGAGTCGTCCAAGCCTGCAACCAGCCAACGTTTCAGTTCGCTATGGAGACGGATTTTTTGCAGGACGAGCCCAGCTTATCCCCGAGGTTGTTGTGGCAGCGACACAGTGCCTCCCAAGCAACATGAACCCCATCACGGTAGATTGGAGAAAGGGAAAAGATTCCCCATGGCTGCCCCCGCTTCATCATCGAACGTGTCTGAAGTTGCCGCTGTTTGGGCACGACTGAGCTACTTGAAGCTGGTTGCTCGTACTGCGTGAGTTCCTCCTCTGGAACCAAAAATTTGGGAGCCTCCAAGTCTTCAAGCTCGGATTCTGCATTAATGTTTTCTTCATTTTTTTCATCTGCATTTTGGACATTATTGCCATTGCCATCACCGGCAGCGTCGGATTCTGAATCCGAGGGCATAGGAATTATACCTTGCAGCGCTTTTTCGGCCCGAATCTGTGCACGCTTCGCTTTCTGCTCTTTGGTAAGCTTTTTCTTCGCTTCTGGCTCGGTCTTGAGGCCTGAAGGCTTTGCGTGCCCAACCTGGCCTGAGGCCTGGAACTGCCTCTTGGGGCCCTTCTTTTGAGCAGATGGGTGCAATGCATCGAATGCAACAAGCGCAGCCTCAGTGTCAGCATCAACCTGCACTGGCAAACCCGCATCGCCGCCATCTTTGTCATCGAAAGGATGGGATGCTGTAATGTCGAACCTGTTGATGTGACGCACAGGCCCCACGTCTAGCACGTTCAATTTCCAGTCGGACGCTTGCCGGGCAAGCCTTGCCAAAGCCACACTCTCGCTTTCAAGCTGAAGCTCTCTTCGACCACTCTGCGAAAAACAATGCAGGCTCACAACAACACCCTCTCCTGCAAGATCAGCCATTTCTACAGGGTGGAGAAGAAGCACTGCCGCCTGGTGCGGGGCGCGGAGAGTGTGAAAAGCAACAGCCAGGCTTAGAGTTGCATCTAGTGTGGCGGAATGAAAGGAGAGAAGCAACGGCTCTTTCCCTGTGGATTTGGCTGTGGGGGCTTTTTGCAGCACGGCGCGCCAGAACAGCGCACGCAGATGCTGCATGCATTCTTGCTTCTTTTCTGGCAGTGAATGCTCACAGCCGTTGATTGTGCATGTGGGGAACAGAGGCCACGGTTCAGGCGGAGCTCCCAACAAGCTGTTGGCCTCTTCCGGCTGCAGGACATTGTGCTGTGCATGAAAAGCATTTGCGATTGCTTTGACCTTGTTGCAATCAGCAGCGATACTGTGCCGCGCTAGAGGGAACCCGTCTGCGGCACCAATATTCCAAGGACCTCCAACAAAATCGGCGGCGGCCTGGGCATCCTCTGCACTCGCTTCCTGATCCACTGCACTACTGGCCTGGAGGTTCTGAGAGCGTGCGACAGCGGCCCAGCGCTTTTTGTCGGCTTGGGCCCATTCAGCGGCCACTCTTGCATTGCGGTCACCTCGAGACGCTTGCAAAAGCCCAGGATGCCGACGAAACAAGTCCTGCGCAAAAGCATGCCAACCATTTCGCGCCTTGCCCTTCAGCCTACCTTGCGCCCATGCAGGCCTTCGGTTGTGGAGACGTTTGCGCTTTTGCCTCAAAGTCATCTTCCGCCACCTCTTGACATGGTGCTCGAACGTGTGCGCGCAGTGCTTGGATACGACTGCTGACAATCTTCTCTTCGGCCCTCTCTGATTCGTTGGTCCACTCCATTCTGTCAGTCTTGCAAACATTCTTTCAATATACGTGGAAGTGGGAACGATCCGTTCAAACACTGCTTGCAAGAACTCCAACACATCATCCTCCATCAAACTGTTTGAAGACTTTCGCACCTCGCGCAGCTTCCTAGCAAATCCATCCAAACAACACACAGGCTGATCAAACAAATCCTGAGCACAACGCTGCTTCTCTGCATTGGTCGTTTCGCTGTCGATCAGACATGCTAGCTTCCATGGGTATTGCGTCCAAGGATAAAGCAGCTTCCTCCAGAGTTGACCCACCACAGTGAAAAATCCTCGCCGAAGCACTCGCAACCTGGCCTGAGGCCACGACAGAATCGGGCCAAAGCACAGGACGGCGGGACCCCACTCGTCGCTGGCGACGTCATCAAGCATCTTTGAAAGGCACGCCATCGCCTTCTTGGCGGGATTTTCAGCTGCCTTGCAAAAGCAAGACGCGGTCAAAGACCTATCCAACTCCAAATCCCCCTCCTCCTGCATTTCCGGTGCTTCTAGATCACGATCTGACAACCATGTGGCGTGCTTAAACAATGCATAATGAATGTTCATGACTGGCGCAGTCAACACGGTCCACAGGACTGTCGACCAATGGAAAGACTTGTCCTGTAAAAAAACCCCAGCCTTCACCAACCGTAACCTGGCCAATCGGGCCCACAGCTTTGATTCGTTAAGCGGGGCTCCAACATCTGCACCTTCTTCTTCGTCGTCTGGCGCTTCAGGCACCATTTTCGATGTGCCGAAGGCGGCCTCGAAGGCTTGGGGAACAAGGTTGCAAAAATTCTGCGTCACAGAAATGTGCCGCATGCAAGGTGCAACCTTCGTCCATTTGTTCAAAGCTGGCACCAAAACGGGTTTGAGCAAAACCTCTTCCACCAAGCCGAAGGCTTTGCAAACAGAGTCGGCTCGGTCCTTGCAGCAATCAGCTCCTCCACATACGTGAACTGGCCGTCCTGCAGGCAATCGCTTCAAAATCGGTTCAAAATCGCTTCAAAATCGCTTCAAAATCGCTTCAAAATCGGTTCAAAATCGATTCAAAACATGTCTTGGCTGAACTATTGAAAACTTATCACGCTGCGATGCAAGCTTGTCGAGTGCATAACTGCATAACAGCCAATAACAGCAGCAAACTAGACTGCAACCTGGGTTCCATGCAGGGAGCTAGCAGCTAGCATTCATAAAGCGTCGCATACATAGTCGTAGAGTCATAGTCATAGTCACATGTAACAAACTCACAAAACAAAGCGGGTAGAGTAGGATGTGTTGTAACACTAACTTGACGACAGTTCGGACTGAGAGCATCAACATCTAGGGGGATGTTGCCTAGGGTATGGAAACTGCACTGCAACGGTCAAGCCCTCAGATGTCGGTAGCCTGAATCACAAGTTGCATTGCCTTGACTTGACATTAACTAATCTGCCTGGAACCCATGCAGCCCATGCACAAGCCTCGCGTAGTTATTGCGGCAGAAACGACGTGATCTTTTTCACGTGGCAGCAACAGCAAGCGAAATCACACACGAAAGGAATGCAGTCGTCGTTTGTGAAATCGACTTGAGCGACAGCGATAGCAGACTGGACTTGGCCAAAGGCCGATCAATGAAACCAACTTTGACCTTTCGTTGTACCGAAAGCAAACTAAGCTAGGCTTGGCCCAAGGCCAGGCCGTTGATGTCTGATGCTGTCACTGTACCAGTCCAGCCTGCCCTCTGGAACACTGTGGAAGATTGGGACTGTACTGCTCAGGTCAGAGACTGTCGCCCAGCAACATGAAACGAAAGTAACCCAACAAAACATCTGTGCAATTCTAGACAACGATCGACATGCCATGCTTGGGCTGAAACTATACTTAGTGGGGGTTCCTCCTGGTTGCGACAGCTCTGACCTGGCCTGAGGCCAACACTCTGACTTTCTACGCAGCATAGCCGCCGCGGCTTGGGGGAGACAAAAGCTCGACCCCGCCCCAATTCCGCTTCACATACATCGCCAAGTCGATATTGTTCGCGAGTGCGGCGTCGACGACCCCCTGCCCGCGCTTCAAGCCGGGGCTGTTGACGAGTGAGGTCACCAGGCCAAATGCGTAGGTTGAGTTCCTGTCACCACCACTCTTGTGGTAGAGGGACCACAAAAGCTTCTGCAGCCCACGGTGGTTCCCACGAGAGGCTGCAATGTGAAACGCTGTCGCCCCTGTTGGAGACCTGGTCCTTAGCAACACTAGAACAAGAGAAAACTGCCCAAAATCACCAGGCAAGACCCGGCCCAAGGCCAATACATCACTGTGTCACGTTGGCACGAAAATCTTCAAGAATAATCTTTTACTAATCTTACTAAGCACACACCGAAGTACATATTTACAAACACGAACACTACTTGAAAGGACCGAGATTCACGAGACCTGTGACGCTCATGTAGGAAACCAGGACCTTCAACATGTCGTAGGCGTAGTCCGTGCCTCCCAAAGATCCTGGTGGTGCATCAACCAACACCATCAACGGCGTCCAGTTCGCTGGGCGACCTGAGGGGTTCGTCACGGCATCCGCAAGAGTCGGGGCTTTCCGGAGAGTATACTCCAGACAAGGCCCAAGGCCCAAACGCACGGCATGATGGGCGACTGTCATCCCCTCTTCGTCTCTGATTGAGACGAGGTCAGAGACCGTCAGCGCTTGGAGCTCCGCCCTGAGGCGCGTCATGTCGCGATTGTACAGCGCTGTGAAGATGACGTTCTTTCTCTCGTCCATTTCTTGGCGAGATTGCAGTCTCGACAATAGAGCCTGCTGTTGGACTTTCTGGGTCTCAAGTAGCCCAAAAAGCCTCCCAAGCATCTCGTCCTTATCGCCTTCCGCCGCCTGCGCCTTGAGCGCTTCCATCGTCTTCTCGAGGTCCAAACTGGAGGGCTCCAGCGGCTCTCCGGACTCGGCCGTCGCAGGAGTCGCAGGCTCATCATCAACCTGGCCCAAGGCCTCGTCCCGGGCCACCTCGTCCGATTCCACGGGGTCTGCGCTGGTGCCTTGGATCGGCTTGAAGTCTTGAAGCTTGGGCGACAATGGGCTGGAAGGGCTAAAGTAACTAGCTGTACCCTAAAAACCCAGACCGTTTTCTCAACCCGGACCTTCATCAAGACCCCTCCCTATCATAAGTGGTTAAGCAACAAAGCAGAAGACGAGAAACCGCCTGGCTCATCCGCTTCCGCCGCTTGCTGCCCTGGCTCTGCGATCTGGTCACTTACCGGGCCGGAGGCCGAGGCCTGATCATCAGCCTGGGCCTGATCCTCCTCGACCTCAGCATTGTTGAAAGAGAGCAGCTGGCGGTTCAGGTGCCCCAGATCGCGCATCACTGTCTCCAGGCGTGCAAAGTCTTCCGAAGTCCAGTTTGCACGGGGCGTCTGCGGAGGCGACTCTGGATTGACATCGGCTACTTTGCCTTCGTCATCGCAGGTCACCATCTCAAAGTCTGACTCCGGCTCCTCTGCTTCGGCTGCACCCTTTTCGCAGGCCTTCTCCACGGTGGGCTCCTCGTTCTCTTCGTCGTCTGCAACCTCAATTTCAACCATAACTGGTGGGTCCACTGCCTCATCATCTGCACTGGCGGCACTGACCTGGCCAGAGGCCGACGAATCCTCGCTGATGCGCTTGGGGTGCGGCATCTCTGAGTCGTCGGTAATGAAACTTGAGTTGTGTACTACCTAGAGTCCTAGAGTCTAGACTGGGCAATCTAGTGACGGACCAAGACCAAATGCACTATTTGCCGAAACCTGTAGCCGTTCTGTCTTGCTTACATTATAATTATCTTCATCATAAAAAATATATAAAAATTTCAGCTCTAAGAAACCATCCGTCGGAACGTTGATGTACGAGGAGTCCGTGTTTGTGCCACTCTGCCGCACCTGACCTGGCGAAACGCCCTTCGATCTCGGCTTGACTGGTCGAGCTTTGGACCGAAGGTGGGTCGAGCTTGAGCGACCGGGCGGGGGCGGCGGCGGCATCGACGATATCAATGACTGTGGCCCTGGCAACGACTGGCGAGTCCGCTTGCCCTTGCCTGAAAGGACGAACCCCATTTCTATGCAGCGCCGACGAAACTGAACAGGGGTGATGAGGGCGTTCGCATATCTCGTGGAAGGAAATATCTCCTGGTTGCTGCCGACCTGGACCAGGCCTGAGGCCCCCGATTTACCAGCGATCTCTGCTTGGTGCTCGATCAAAAAGTCGATGGGGCGAATAGTGTTCACTCTGTACTGCGATGGCGGCGCTCTGCTGTTCAGGTCGACGATGTTGCGCAATGTGGAGACATAGTTCCTGTAGATTCTCAAATGCGGCCTAATATAAGATTAAGGTAACCTTATCCTGAACTTGATTCTTGTCTCTTACAGCCTTTCTGGCAAACACATCGACGTCTGACTCACTGGAAAGCACACAGTGACTATACTGAAATGCCGAGGTTCGCAACTTCTGTCGCCGACCAGCCCAAAAGGCGCATGAGCGTCATGGCACCAAGTGTCGCGGAGCGATGGGCTCCGTTGACACAGCAGATGAGGACCGACACGCCGCGGTGCAGCAAGGAGATCACATTGTCGATCTGCTGCAGCACGCTCTCCATGTTCACGTTGCCGTGCACGACGCCAGTCCCATCTGTGTACCTCAATACACGGATCGCCGCTGTGTCATCCGGCTGGACCGACTTGGCCGCAGGCCACACCGCTCCGATTCCATTCCTGATCATCAGGTTAGTGTCGGTGCCTGCCTTCGATCCGCCGAGCCACAACTTGGAACCGAACTCATTCGTCAGGTCCAAGATGACATGGGCAGGATGCCTACACAGGGCCCAAACAGAAACGTTAAAAGTTCAAAGAGCCAAGAGTCCAAAACGAAACCCCCGGCTACGCCTTAAAGCAACTAACTTAGAACTGCCTCCTGCTTCCTATGCCTTAGTATAGGACTATAGACTGTAGTATGGTATGGTAAGTCATAAAGTATGAGAGCCATAGGCTACAGGCTTTGGGGGGCGCCTACTGCTCTAGGACTCTAGGCTATAAGCCATAACGGCTAGTTTGAGTATTTGGGCACATCGATCCTGTCGTTGTAGCTGTTTCGTGCCCACTTGATCGCCTCGACTCCACCGTAGGTGTCACATGCGAGGTGGTCCGTGATGACGACCACATGCTGCCTGAGCTCTTGTGAAGTCATCTCCGGACCCGGCCAAAGGCCCTGTAGCGCGGACGCACGAGCGTCCATGCTTTCGAAACAAGCCTGCAACCCTTCTGTCCGCAAGAAAGCCAGGAGCTGGGTATCGGTCATTTCGAAAAGCCCCGACGGCCCCGACATTGCAATCGGGGATGCTCAGAAAAAAAGACACACGTCACTCACTCACTGTGTCAGCTGAACGTCGCGATCTTGAACCACATGCAGAGTGCACATGCATCAGAGGTCAAAACTGTCAAAACATGCAACGACACTCCAAGTAGACTTTGCAACTGTAGGACATGCTACGGCAGCCATAAAGCAGAAGTTTAATCAGTCGCTTATGGCATCGTGCGCAATCACAACCAGATTTATCTAGATTTACCACTGATTCCCAAATCAAGAACCCAACCGAACCCCAGCACTCGGTCCTGTCCAGGGGCCGCGGAAGAAGAAGTCCACGAACTTCTTGATCCGCTGCGAAACTCCGGAACGTTCTTCAGGTTTGGCATCGCCCAATCCTTGCAGCATAAGTTCTAAGAAGGTGGTTGCTTGCTTGCGTGCGCTGGACCATTCGGCCTGCAAACCTGGATGCTCTTCTGACATGACGACCAAATCCTTGTCAATCTGTTGCTTGACAGCTTCCCTCAGATCCTTGAACACTTTGCCTTTACTGGTGCACTTTGCTACACAGTAGGAACCTGGCAGAATGCCCAAAAGCTTTGTAATTCGCTCAACCACGTTCCCGTTCCTATGTTGAGCACAAAGCATAGGGATAAAAAAACACTGCTCAGGCAGAACTGCATGCAAATGTTTGAGCAACTTGATATTTGCTGAGGCCTGGTCGCACGTCACCAGCAGACATGGAAAGTCAGCCAAGGTGCAAAAGCTACCTGGCCCAAGGCCCCCTGCTCCGAGGTTCAATGCTGCCCACATGCATGCAGTTGTTTTGCGGGGCAGGGCCTGAGGCACTCGAATGAAATCCTGTTCTGTCATACTTCCTGCTGAACCGAAGCTCAATTGAGAATGAGAAGCTAGAATTGACCAGGAGCCCGGCCCATCACCATTCAAACTCAGATCCAGCTCGGTTTCGTCGAACATCAGGTTCAAGATCCAAAGCTTAGGTGGGTTGTGCGACTCTGATACTGCACAATGTCTTGCTTTGCCTAGCTCTTGTGCAAGGCCTTCTTCTTGCTTCTTCAAAAGCACACTAGACACAAAAGTACGAGCGCTCAACACATGAGCCGCACTGGCTCCATCTATCTCGCTGGCGACCTGGCGCAACGCCGATGATGCTTGAGAAAATGCTGCTCGGAGTAACGCTTCCGGTGTCCACACTTTCCATGCGCCTTTCCCAGACACCTTGGCCCTTTTTTCTGATGATTCCATCGGCATCAGGTGATCTGTCGTCCTGCTCCTTCCAGACAAATTAGCATGAGTTGCTTGCAATCGGCTTTGCCGTCGTCTGTGGGCCTTATGTGTTTCCTTCATGCTTTTGGACCTCTTTAAGCCAATCCGTCTTCTTGCCAGCCCGACTCCTCGTCCTCTGCCGCCTCTGCCTCTGCCTCTACCGAGCCCGTCTCCTCGTCCTCTGCCGCCTCTGCCTCTGCCTCTACCGAGCCCGACTCCTCGTCCTCTGCCGCCCCTGCCTCTACCGTCTCGACCTGGCCGAAGGCCTGCTCCTCCTCCCCGAACAGCTTGCTGTGGGCCTGCTGCTCTTTGTCTCTGCTGGGCAACTCGCTGTTGCCGCGCTGGCAAGCGTGCAGGGCGTGGAACTACATGTGGCGCGTGTTCCACGGCAATGCTTGCGAGATCTTCAAGATTAAAATCGAACACGTCGCTTTGGACCTATTCATCTACTCACGGTTGAGCCTGATGCAATCAGCAGTATATAGCGGAGTCTTGGAAACACATATAATGCAGCACTCATGCCTGGACTGGCGCCATCCTGGTTTGCTAAAACTTGACTGTGGGCTCTTGACTGAGGCGTGCTACAGTTGGTGCGCCTTGCCCCCCCCCTCCCCGGGTTTTGACTCAGACAGCGCAATGCCCTCTTTCCAAAACAAGTGGCTCAAACTGCAGCTGTAGCAGAGTAAAAGACAAGTGCAACAGAGTTGTTTCAAAAACATAGCATTTAAGAAACCACTGACAAACAATTGTTCAATAAAAACACCAGATTCCAAAACAATTGAAAAACAATTGTTCAAAAAAACACACAAATTTCAAACAATTGCAAAACAATTGCAAAACAATTGTCAAAACAATTGACAATTGCAAAACAATTGCAAAACAATTGCAAAACAATTGCCAAACAATTGTCCAAAACAAATGACCATTTTTATACATACCCTCAACAGAAGCTTCTTGAAAACATTCAATGGTTAACGGTCTGAAGCCTCCTTTGAGTTTCTTAATCATCACAACACTTATAGATCCGGTCATCCATGACAATCACATATTTGAATCAAGTATAAGAGTCTTGATCAAATATTGCAGATTCCATCATATAAAGAATTGTTGACCAAATATATTGGTCTGACCCAAATATATGCAAAAGGATATGAAATTGATGCAAAGACGCTCACTCTTCTTTTCACGGCACAGCCGAGAGTCGTGGGAAGTTTTCAAGGAAAACGAAGGTGCACAGGGCGTGCACCGGGCACTAAGAGTGCCCCTCCACTTAAGCAGAGGCACACGAGTGCCCCCCCAGAGTCCAGTCGCACGATGGAGTGCAACGTGACCATATTCTTCCCCCGGGCGGGTTGGGTGGGATCAAAAATTCTGGCTCGATCTCGAGACAGCCTCGATGATTGCAGATTCAATCATGAACAAGTGTCCGTTTAACCGCATGGTTTAAAAATCGTTACTCGACATGAGAAACGAAATCATGCAACAGCGTTGAAAGTTGTTAAAAGTCTGGATTGTGAAGCACTACTAAGAGTAGCGCAAAGATTGTCATGGCCCAAAATTTTGTTGCTTACAAAATTTCGTTTGACCTAGGATCTATAAAACATCGACACGCACGCGTGAAGTGATGCTTATAGATCCGGTCATCCATGACAATCACATATTTGAATCAAGTATAAGAGTCTTGATCAAATATTGCAGATTCCATCATATAAAGAATTGTTGACCAAATATATTGGTCGACCCAAATATATACAAAAGGATATGAAATTGATGCAAAGACGCTCACTCTTCTTTTCACGGCACAGCCGAGAGTCGTGGGAAGTTTTCAAGGAAAACGAAGGTGCACAGGGCGTGCACCGGGCACTAAGAGTGCCCCTCCACTTAAGCAGAGGCACACGAGTGCCCCCCAGAGTCCAGTCGCACGATGGAGTGCAACGTGACCATATTCTTCCCCCTCTCGACTATGCGTTACGTTGCTTCAAGAGTGGCGCCTGTGACAAAGCAAGTCGGCACGTCACGAGTGACGGGACCAAGGAATGCCAGCTCCTCCCATCTGCCTCGGGATGGCGGATCCGCGATGTTGCTCTGGCTCGGTACACGATGAAACCACGGCAAGCACGGGCGTGCTTCATCGGCGGCCTCCAAGTGAAGAAGGAGACTCCTCCAAGATGCATCGATCGAGTTCGAGTTGATGCAAGCACTCAAGACGCCGGAATGGTCGACGAAAAATATGCATCGTTCGCCATCAATGTAACTCGACCACAGGATCCTGGCAAGCACGACCGCGTAAAGCTCGACCTGCCCTATAATGTGTTTCCTACCCTCGGCCCATTGCTTGACGAGCTTGCTAGGAACCCTACAACCGAAAGCCCTAGCAACACCCTCGCCGGGGACAAAGAGAACCCCACCGACACCAGTACTGAAGCCGCCCTCGCAAGGGTCGCATGCGCCATCTGTGAAGATGAGGACTGGGTTCGAGGCAGGGCTCGTCACAATGGCACGCGGCCTGCTCGCAAGAAGTCTTGCCCTCAGAACAGCCAAGGCATTAGATTGAGTATCCGTAAGGTTCAAGACACCCCCTCTGTCACCGAAGAGCCTGAGGTCGGCCAGGGCCAATCGCCCTGTGCGACCAAGCAGCTGAGCATCTGCGAAGCGAAGCTTCCCAAGAAGGGATGGCAGCTCCCGCGTGTCTACCTGGCCCTTTTCAAGGATGCGGCCCAAGGACTGTTCAAGCATGGCAGCTCGTTCGGGCTTGTTCGATACGAAGATGCGGCCCATGTCAGGATCGGAGGTATCCAGCACGACACCCAGCGTTTCTGCAGTGCACGAGAACGGCTTTTCTTTCTCGGACAAGGAGAAGCCAAACAGGTCCATGAGGGCATGAACTGCATTGTCAGTCCCGCCAGACAAGAACGAAGGGGTCATCGTCGGGAAATCGTCATAGTAGCAAGTTACGGCCACCCTCAAATCCCAAAGAACCCTCTGCAGGAATAATGCAACCCTGTTAAACTGCATGACCGAGGCTGAAGCTCCGAAAGGAAGAGTGTTGCACACAAAGGCCTTGACGGCGCGGGAGCCCGGCTCCCTGAGCAGGATAACGGATTTCGGTCTCTCGCTAGGGTGCAGTGCGAGCTGCTTGTAGGCAGCTTGAAGATCGTAAGTTTTGCAGTGAGGACGGACACGGCCAGGGTCCTTCCAAGCCGTATGGAGGGGTCCCTTGAGTCTCTCACCGGTGCTGAGCTCAAGATCGAGGGATCCTGAAGATTTTGCAGCTCGGCAAACTTGCATGCACAGCCAGCAAATCTCATCGAGGGCCTTGAGAGTAACACGTTCAAAGCATCCGAAACAAGAGTTCACAGCGGCTTCCGAGAAGTCATCGATCGCACGCCACTTGCCCTGCCAGACTGCAAAACGCCGGCAGGCGTTCCAGCCTTCAGGGAACTTGTCCCCCAAAGAGTCAACGTCGATCGGGCCGTCAAGCCAGCACTTCCCCGATCTGTTAGACTCCTCAAGCGTCATGTTCCAGAGCTCTTCGGCATAGTCATGGTCCTTCTGGGCTCTGACTTTTTCAAGCAGGGTTTCCCTCCGGAGGGGAG